AATGGTCATCATTACCCTTAGTACATGTATGAAGACACGAAAGATGTGACTCTACTTTGTGTACAACCAGATATATGAAAAATTGTGCTCTATATGTGTAATATGAATTTTAATGCATCCTGTTGTCATATATAACAAATTAAAATTTAAAAAAATTAAAAGAAAATAACTTGTGATTTCATACTGTCAAAACTATTAATGGTCATCTCTGTGTTCTATGATGGTAGTACATTCACAGATTTCTCTTTCTATTACTTCTACTGCTTGACCCTTCAGTTTCCTTGTCTGGCTTGTCTCCCTCATCCTTCCTGCTGAGTACTCCCCCCCAAAAATAACTCACTTGTATATCTCACTAACTTCAACTACAACATATGCCATTTCTAACTTACTTTCCCCACCAAACTAGCTCCCATTTCTTGATTGCCCCATATATGTTAGCAACTTTCTCTAAGTCACCAGAGATCAGAGTTATTTTGGACTTACCTCCTGTTTCCTCCCAAGCTCTAGTCACCAAGTTTTTCTCTGTTTATCTCTCAAAAGATGTTACACATTTGTGAGCAAGTAATCTGAACAGACAATTCACAGGAAAAGCAATACTAATATTAAACACATGAAAAATGTTCAAAGTAGAATGATCAAAGTAAGTAAATTAAAATAGTAATAGGTAGCATTTACACCTATTGCATTACAAAAAGAAAATTTTCAATGATGGCAAAATTTAGGGGAAACTTATCCTCATATATTGCTAATGGCAGTGTAAAAACCCTTCCCGGGGAAAGCAATTTGGTGAAATCTACAAAGAACTATAAGAATGTTCATATTCTTTGAACTAGTAATCCCAACTCCAGATAATTGTTTTTAATGAGATAATTCAAAATGAGAAAAAGGCTATTGCTATTCAAAATGTTTCTGCAGCATTACATTATAATAGCAAGAAATTGGAAACAACCTAATTACCCAACAATTTAGGAATGATTAAGCAAATTAGAACACATTAAGCTGGTGAAATATTATATAGCCACTAATATTGAGGGAGTCTGTATAGCAGCATGAAAAATTGTTTGCCATACTGCATAATGCAGTTTGGTCGGGGAAATCAGGCCACAGGAAAGCACATCTACATAGTTATTATAACCATGCCAAAAATAATCTCCATACCTATAGATGATGCAGGCAGGGAAATGAAAATAATCAGAGTGCTAAGGTGGTAGGAACAAGTCTCCTTATTCTTCTGTTTTTAATTTCCTGTAATATTGTTTTCATCAAAACAAACTTTTTCTCCCCAAATATCTCACATATTTATCTATGTCTTCTGCTCCGTTTCTATTGTATCTGTACTTCCCCAGTCTAGGCCATGCCACACTCTTCCATGCCTGTATCACTGCCACAACTGGTCTCACTTCAAGCCATCTAGGCTGCAAATACTGCTAAGTTCCCTAAGGTACCACATTTATGAAGTCACTTACCTGATGATTGATCTTCTAATTAATGTTAATTCATTAAATTTTTTCTAGTGCTGGGGATCAAACCCAGGGCCTTTTGTGTGATACGCAAATGCTCTACCACTGAGCTACAGCCTCAGTATCTCAATTTATTTTTTAATCTGATACATAAAAACATAAAAGTACATATTAATGTGTGCCATGCAATGTTTGATACACATACGCATTGCATACTGTTGAAATCATGTTAAACGTAGCTATTTCCTCAAACATTTATCAGTTCTTTATAATGAAAACCTTCCAAATCCTTTTTTGTAGCTTCTTGAAATGCACAATTCATTATGCTTATCTGTAATCACCATATGGTGTAATAGTACCCCAGAATTTCTTACTCCTATCTAACTCTACCTTAGCACTATTTGTTGATCAGTGATCTTTAATTGTGCCCATGTTTGTGATCCTATCTAGTTCTGAAGGCCTACCCCTCCTGGTCCAAGGCTTTACTAGTCACCTTTATTATCTTATTGCTGCTGAAGTTCCTCTTGCTTCTCCTCAGTATCACAACTAAAACTTGCTGAGGGTCTCTAGTGCCAGATTTTGTTCTCAAGAGTTTACATATATAAACTCATTTAAGACTCAACAATCATTTGATTAAAGGTACTCTTACCCCATTTTGCAAATGAGGGGAGAAAGAGATATATAGAGAGAGAGAAGAAGAAGGGAGGGAAGGAGGGAAAAAAGAGACTGGGAGGGAAGGGGAGGCACTTGTCAAGGCCACATGGCTAGTAATTAGAAGAACTTGGATTTGAACTCAGGTAGGACTAACTGAAGGCCAAAACTCAACCAGTGATGTTGATTCTTCCAACATACTCTGCTTTAGTCTTCTCTATGGGCCTTTCATCCTGTAGTTCCTACCTTCAGTTTCTTGGCCTTACAGTGAATTTACACAAGGCACAATAATACTTATAATGTACTGACCCTTTAACATGTGCCAGGAGCATCTTGTTGAAACCCTGTATTTTACAAGGCTTCATCTTCTGTCAATTGTGTAAGAAAAATCTGGGCTTCAGTATGAGCTTGCCTCTTTCCTGCCTGTGAGACATTGAGTAGATTACTTAGCCTCCCTGAACTTCAGCTTCTTCATCTGAGTTAGTATTTCTTAAAGTGTGATCCCAGGACCAGCTGCATTAGCATCACCCAGAGAGCTTGTTAGAAAAGGAAATATTGAGCCTCATTCCACACCTGCTGAATCAAACTCCCTGAGGGTGATGTCCAACTAGCTTCCTGTTTTTCTTTTAAAAAAATATTTTTAGTTGTAGATGGACATAATACTTTATTTATTTCATGTGGTGCTGAGGATCAAACCCAGTGTCTCACATGTGCTAAGCAAGCACTCTACCACTGAGCCACAACCCAGCCCAGCTCCCCATCATAATTCTTCAAACTCCCCAGGTGTTTTCTGTCTCACAGTCTCAAGTCTGGGACTCGATGTCATAGTGTAATAATACCTACCTGGAAGAATTGTAGGGAATATAAAACATTACATAACATGTGTAACTCCGTTCATGGCTCATAGGTCGTTTTGCAAGTGGTAATATATTATTATCATTGCTGTTGAACTTTCAGTGGATTGGTCTTCCTTGCTGAAGCTGTGAGCAGGTCCTATGTGTCTTGCTGCTCTTTCACTAGTATTTCCCACTTTGCCTACCAAAATTCAGTTTTAAATAAAGTCCTCTTTAAATAAAGTTCAGGTTTTAAATAAAGTCCTCTTACTTCATTTCACTAGGCAGCAAGAGAACCATTTCAGAGAATTACTGTCATGCACTATAGTGTCTCTGAAGCTAGACTGACTGGATCTAGTCAACTTACTAGCTGTGGGACTTACTTTGTTATGTCAAAAGGAGAAACTAATAAGTACCTACTCCATAAGGTCAGAGAGATAAATACTGGTAAAATTCTTTGAATGGTGCCTAGAACAAAGAACTGAATTTAAGAAATGTTAGCATTATTGTCAGACACAGAGAATGTGGCTATGTCCATATCTAAGACATGGTCTTCCCTCTCAAGGGTCTCAGTCTAAAATAGGAATCTTGGCAGGCTTGCTAGATTGAGGTGATTTCCACAAGGACATGGTACAAGTCAGCCTAGAGCTGGAGAATCAAGGGTATCCCCCCGAATCCCATAGAATCTCCACCCAAGACCTAGACCCCTGAGAATGATACCAGGGATCTGTTTGAAAGGTTTTCTTAGGGGTCCTAATTGAAGCAGGCAGAATGGAAAAAAGCATGAGTTTCGGGTCATTTGTTTGAAATCTAGTTCCATCACTTGCTAGCTCTGTAACCTCAGCTAAGTTATATGACCTTTCTCTGGATCTCACCTACAAAATGGGCAACAAAAGAAACTATGTTTGTCAAAAGATTCAGTCCAATGCTTTGTGCTTAGTAGATGATCCACATATATTGGGTTCCCCAATTTCCCATTGCCAACCAGAAAACGAACAGGTTTCCCAGACTTTGGAGTCAAAGAAAAAGCAAAATAATTCCTGACCATGCCATCAAATCACAGGGAATAATACAGAAACCTAGAATGAACTCTAGACTCTTCAGGGATCAGAAGCCTTAGATTCTAGTCCTCTCTCTTGGTACCTTCACCTTGGAGAACAGAGCACAGCTTGTACTCTTGTTTATTTTGGAGTTCGAGTTAAGAATCAATACAATTTAAGTGCCCTTTGTATCATTTCAGTTGAGAAAAAACTGGCTGAAAGAATATGTGGGGTTTTTACCTAAAAGAGCTTTAGCCAGGAGATGGCAACTCTCTGTATCTCATAGTGACTTAGGGCAGTCACTTAGAGCACCTCATCTCTAAGGAACATGAGTGCCCGGTGCCATGAGCCCCATGTTACAGTGGTAGACTTTCCACACTGGGCATTTTTTTCCTTAAGGAAAAGAAGCTCTTTTCTCTTTATCCCAAACCACATGCCCCATTCATAAAAAATATCCCTGTCTTCCTCCAGGAATTATAACCTACAGTCCACATGATCTGGCCCCAGACTTTTAATGAGCAGACCTTAAGTTTTCAATGAGTCTCATTAAAAGAAAGGTGGCAGAACCCAAGAAACAGGTGCCCCAAACAACTCTGGGGCAAAGGCACCACAGTACCTAGACAGTCCTCCCTCCTCTCTGCCTGTTCCAACTGCCCCACGGCCAATGTCAAGGCAGGCACAATTTATGCCTTCACATTTCTTTCAGCAGTTTTATCCCAAATGTCCTTGGACATGGTGAGGGCTGCCTCAGGCCTTTAAGCTAATGGGCATAATGCCTCACAATATACTACCTGACTCCTCTGTATTCCAAAATGTTCTAGCACACAATCGGTTCTATATCCAGCTATCAGGGGATCGGGGAGCAGGCTGGATTACATCTCTGGCACCAAGTCCTTGGTGTGGATACCAGACCAGTTTCCTCAAAGGAAACTATGCTCAATGAATGAAGATCTTAGCAATTTCTGTTGAAGCCTCAGAGGCACTAACTCATCCCAAATCCCTGAGAGGTCACTTACCTCCCTGACTGGCTGGTCTTTCTGTTTCCTGTTATTGATTTCCATTTGTCCCCAGGAAATTCCTGCAAAGCAAAATTCTGATAAGTTAAGGAACTCTGAACAACCAGGTAGCTAGATGGTTTCAAAACAGTGAGGCAGTCAGGGCCCTGCCCCTGGCCAGGTCACCGCAGTTGGTATCATCTACAGTCCTAGGCAGGCTACCGAAATATGTACCTGGAAGGCTGCCTTTCTATCAGGAGGCCTGCTGAGCTGCTGCAGGCATGCAGAGACTCAGAGAGCACTCAGGGACCTGAACGCTGTAGTCTAGAAATACTGCATTTCCCTCTTTCTGCACTCCCTCCCAAACCACCTTAAAAACCAGTTTAGCATGTTTGCTGTTTGCTCTGGCTCTTGCCAGCATTGAGGGATGGAGGTCTTTTTGTTTATTCTCCTAGATGAACCTGCTTGCTCCTCCTGCCTCTTCCAATACAGAAAGCATCTTCTTGGAAGCTCTGGCCTTGAGTGGGCTTTGAGGGTGTGAGCTCCTGCTGCACCAAGTCCCCCAGGGTGGGCAGAGGGAGGCAGGCATGCCAGCACACCCCTGTCCTGCAGGGGCTCTTCTTCCTCTGCTCACCCAATGGCAGGAACTGAGGTTGGCTCATCTGTGGGGAATATAAATGTCAGATGCCATCGTCCCAACTCTACAGGAGTAGTTTCTACACTGGACTTTTTTTTCTTAAGGGTTATGACCAAGCAGCTATTTTCCTCCCAGGCCAAGTCATAACGAATGTGCCATTCGTTTTTTTTTTTTTTTTTTTTTTTTTTTAATGTCCCTGTTGTCCTATTCTAACTCTAAACAGAATGCAAAATTGCCTTTCAGGCCTGTCCAAATTTTGTATCCAGGACCCAGGGCCTAGACTCAGAGCTTGCTCAATGGGGATGCACAGTTTTCCCTAAACATCACTGATCTTCCAAATTCCTTTTTCCCAACATTATCATTATTAGTCCCATTGAAAATTGTATTACTTTTGCCCAAGTAGGCTTCCCTTTTGGGGTTCAGACGCCTGGGGAAGTAGAGCAAACATAGTTCTTTGGTGTCAGACATATTGGCTAAGACACTTATTAGCAGTATTGTTTGAGGGAAGTTCTGCCACCTCTCTGGAACTCAGTTTCCTATCTGGCAAATAGGGATTCTGCTATCTAGTCTTGCTGGGTTGCCAGAAGTGAGAATTAAATGAGAAGTACAGAGAATACCTAGCACAGTGGTTGGCATGTGGAAGGTTTTGGATGTTAGTAGCCACAGATAAAGGTGAGGTTTGTTTCCTGGTTCTGGCTTTTTAAAAGACCAAAGCAGTCCTTACCCATATCTGGGATATCAGAGAATCTCTAATCACTTGTACCTCAGACTGTGCCTCAACAATCTTGTGAGATGCCCATATATATATACCATATAGATGCCAATAGATACCACAATTTGTTCAGCCACAGTGGGAGGCAGGGCTTCCTGTCCATACCCTGTAATATGTGATCAGATTATGGAGGAGCAGTGTGGCATACTTAGGAACTTGGCCTCTGAAACTGCATAACATGGCTTCAGATCCCACACCTGCCCTTCACTAGCCAGGTAACTTCAACTTCTCTCTGCATTTCCCCAGCTATCTAGTAGCAAAAGAGAACCTATTTCTTAATTGCTTGAGGTCTCAATGAGTTGATACATCCAGGGCACCTGGAATGATATATCTGGTGCCCAGTGGGCTCTCAAATATCACTTACTACTATGTCATTCAAATCCCATCTCTGCCACTTCTGAGATGTGTGACCTCTCTGAGCCTCAGTTTCCTTTCCCATAAAATGAAGATCCTATTATAAATTATCTCATACTAGTATTAAGTGAAATCATCTAACAATGCATGCAAAACTAACTGGCATGAGATATGGGATGTGAATGTGTGTTGTTTGCAGTTCTCCTAATAACACTGAATAAGAGCTTATTAGCACCCTGAACTTCTCCAGGGGCAGAAGGAGCAAGATGTCAGATCTAACTTCAGAGAGCCACCACAACTACCTTTGTCACTAGAGCTGGAGTATCTTAACTCATGCTGCAAGTTCTCCCCAGGTCCTGCATGGTTGGGGTAGAAGGTTTAGGTGGCAGGGATAGAAATAGGCACAGAGTAACTCCTAGATAGCCAACCATGTGTTTGAAAGGCTAATGTCTAAGCAGACCTGCTTGACCAGTCTAACAGGCACTAGGAACCCAATGTGTCCCTCACCCCCAAGGACAAAAGGAAAAGCATGGTATAGGCACAGGCTCACCTACATTGCTGCTGCCAATTCTGCACCTGCCAATTACACCTCCTTTCCTTAAAGAGTCACTGGTCTTGAGCTGACATCTCTACAGCCACCATCTCCTCACTTCCTGCTTGTCTTTGGCCCCTTTTCTCTATCATCAACTTTGTGAGTCCTTCTTTTAGCCAAAATCTCTCAAGCTAATCCAAACTCTCTCTTTACCTTAATAGCTGCCTTATAAGTTAATCACTGTCTGGCAGTCACTGTTCTAAATGCCTTACACACATGACATCATTTAATCCTCACCACCAACTTTTGAAGTAGGTGCTGCTATCGACTCCATTTTGATATGGGAATGTTTAGGCACTGTGAATTCTGGGGAGGGAATTTGAATCCAGGAAATCTGGTTCTAGCTTCAGGACCCTTCTAGTTCCTCTTTTCCTTTTTTCAACATTGTGAATATTTTGAAAAGTTGAAAGGAATTTATAGTGTATAGAAAGCACGCATATACTCATCATTTCGATTTTCCAATTAGCATTTTGCTACAATTGCCTTATTGTATCTGTTTATTCTTCTATCCATCCACCAGTCCATCTTAAATTCTTGATACATTTCAAAGTAAGTTACAACAATTTCATTCCCCCCAAATTTGAAAACTTAAATGAAATGGACACACTCCTTAAAAGCCACAAACTACCAAAGCACACTGAAGAAGAAATAAATAACCTAATTGATCCTATTCTATCTGTGAAGGAAATTAAATTTGTCACTTAAAACCTTCCCACAAAGACAACACCAGGCCCTGATGGCTTTGATGATGAATTCTACCAGACATTTCTGGAAGAAATAATACCAATTTTATATGAACTCTTTCTGAAAATATAAGGGAAGATAATACTACCCAGCTCATTCTTTAAGACCAGCATTACTTTGATACAGAGACCAGCCAAAGGTTTATCAGTCTAAAATCCCTGATAAACACAGAAAAATCTTTAACAAAATACCTACAAATCAAATCTAGTGACATATAAAAAGGATACTACATCATGACCAAGTGGATTTTATCCTGGCAATGCTACATTAGTTCCTATTTTAAAAACCAATCAACATAATTCACCCATACCAGTATACAAAACGGGAAAAAATATATGGTCATCTCAATAGATACAGAAAAAGCATTTGAAAAATATCCAACATCTGCTCCTGATAAAGACCCTCTGAAACCAAGAATCAAAGGGTATTTCCTCAACCTGATAAAGGTATCTACAACAAAAGCATATAACTAACATTAACAATGAAAGATTAAGAACAAAGCAACAATGTCTGCCCTAGCCACTTCCTCTAAACACTGCATTGGAGGTCTTGACAGTGCAATAAGGCTCCTTTCTCCCCCATGAAAGGGCACATGCTGGAAAGGACCATATAACATTCTTTCCATTCACAGATAACATGATTGCTTATGTACAAAATATTTTATAACCTACCAAAAAGCAACTACAATTGATCAGTGACTTTGGCAAGGTTGCAGGTCACAAGACTAATAATTGTATTTCTATAGGGTAGTGACAAAGAATTTTCAATTGATATCAATAAAGCAATACTGTTTACAGTAGCATCGAAACCCATGACATCTTAGGGACAGGTATAACAAAATATCTAAGATTTCAAAGCTATAAAAAGACTTGTATATATCACTATACTTCAAAAGCAAGTTTGATAGTCACTTATAATATTTTTTAGGTAAAACTTACTTCCCATGACAGGTACAGATATTATGCATACATTTTTTGAGTTTTGGTGAATACACCTGTGTAACTCTAAACTTTATCTAGTTATAGATAGAACATGTTCCCATACCCTTTTCCAGCCCATTGCTGAGCCATATCCCATTTCTAAGCCCTGCTATGAATTTTTTCCCTTAGGAACAGCTATCAGAGAACTTCATATAAAAGAAATTGTAGGGTCTGTACTCTTTTGTATAAGGCTTCTTTCTTTCCTGAAGTTCCTTTCTTCAAGTAATACATATTAAGCATTTTCAAACATTAAAAGTCATTTCAAAGGTCTGCTATGAACAACAATTTGACACATGAATGGACTTCCGGTTTAACAGCCAAAATGTGTCACTAGGGATGTCATGGGGAAGGAATCTGGCAGTGAATGGGTAGGTAAGGACTTAGGAGGTCCTCCCAGAAGAACCCTGGGGGATGGTAAGGCCTTGTGTTAGAGTGATAGGTCATGACCAGGGTAGAACAGCAGCCAGTTTAGACATGGGTCTCCAATAGACACAGTTTAGACCTGGGTCTCCAAATTTGCAGCATCAAATAATTTTAAAATAGGAAATTAAAGGCAGTTAGTGCTGCTCTGTATCATGCCCTGGGCCTAGCACTCTATAAACTGCTCTTGGGTTCTCCTCAAAATGGATCCATGAGGCAGCCATGATTTTCTTCTGCATTGGAGATGAGGTGATAAGATTTTTCTTACTACTGGAAATAAACATTATTTTCCCTTTTAAAAAAATCATGAAACTTAGCCAGGTTCTGTGGTGCACACCTGTAATCCCAGTGGCTCAGAAGGCTGAGGCAAGGGGATAGAGGTTTAAGACCAGCCTCAGCAACTTAGTGAGGCTTGAGCAACTTGGCAAGACCCTGTCTCAAAATAAAAAAAAAAAAAATTTTAAAAAGGCTAGGGATGTGACTTAGTGGTTAAGTACCCCTAGGTGTGACCCCAGGAGGAGGAGGAGGAAGAGGAGGAGGAGGAGGAGGAGGAGGAGGAGGAGGAGGAGGAGGAGGAGGAGGAGGAGAAGAAGAAGAAGAAGAAGAAGAAGAAGAAGTAGAAGAAGAAGAAGAAACAACAATTGTGGTAGCTGAATGACTCACTTAAGGTCTTCCAGATTCCAATTTCACAGGATAGAATCCCAGTCCTGTTCATTTTGTGAACCAAAAGTTACTGTATCTAACTCTCAAGATGCGCAGGTGTGTTAAGATGTTGGTGGCTAAGGGTCTTGCCCAAGGTTACTAAGCAACCATCTAGTAGAAACAACGGCTATCTCATTACCAGGAATTACAACTATCATATTTTCAAAAGGTTCTAGTTTGCTCTTCACACAGACAATAATGAAGTTCACCCACTCTAGAACCAGGTCCTCACCTGCACTGGTGGCTTCCTGGGATTCCAAGCGTTGCCAGGTGCCAAGCTGCTGTCCTCAAGAGTACTGTGCTGAGGATTATGATAGCAAGCAGAACATCGGATACACTGGTGGTGGTGGTATCTGCACTTGTAGCAGTTGGACATCATATTTCTCTTTAGCAAGGCAGGACAGATTTCCCCAGAACAATAAATGCAAGGGTCATGGACTACAGCTCCCTGAACACTGCAGGAGTAAGAGCAGGTCCTGTGGTAATCAAAATCACCACAGTGCAGTGGCTTACAACACATGGAATTTTCTAGACCTTTGCTTGCAAAGCATTCTGAGTAAGCAGGAGTTTCTGACTGAAGGGGTGACATGGAATGAAATGGTTGGTCTGTGGCATGATACGGTTGTTCTGTGGAGTGATATGACTGGTCCATGGGATGGCGCCTCAATTCCCGATAGCTGGAGCTCATTGACTGAAAGTTGGGGTCTATAGGTTTTGGTCTCTGGCTAAAAGTCTTGTTGCTCTGAGTGGTTAAACCTGGCAAATGAGATGTGGATAAGGATTTGCTGCTCTCTTCAAAGAACCTTCTTCTGTCTGCAAAGGGCAAAAGGATGGCTTCCTCCCCAGCTTGGACAGGAGAAGTCTTCAATTCCTTGTTGTCACCTGGGCTGGAAGGGCCTTCCATGGCTAGTGCCACATGTGGCTGCAGGTTATGCTCTGGAGACCATCTCCAGTGACCTCCACGGACTCCATGATGAGCATTTGCTTTCTCAGAGTCTGAGGATGTGTCAGAGGCTTTCCACCAGGAGTTTAGGCCCAAAGAGGACTGGCCAGACCTCCGGCCAGGGCTTTTTTGTCCCTCCGGGCCTATCCTAGATTCGTGGCTCTCAGGAGCTTGGCTGAGGCACTCTGAAGACCGAGCCCTGAGTATCATGCTTTTGTTGAAGAGCTTATCTCTGGGGCTAGGGGGTTTTTTATATGAAGATAGAAGAGCTGAGTTAGAGGCAGGGAGTGGAGGACTTTCGGGAGGCTCCTGGGTCTCTTCCACTTGCTCCTTAGTGTCACACAGCTGTGACAAGGGGCCTTTGCTCTTCTGAAGCTGGGCCTTCCTCCTCTGAATTTCATTGCGCAGATTGGTAGCAAAGCGCTCACTTTTCCGCCGATTTTGGATTGAGCGACCCCGGGGACCTCCACTTCGCCTACCGCCCACCCGGCCACATTCTTTGGGCTCACTGTCCCCTTCTTCAGTTGTCTCTTTGCTGCTAGCTACTTTAGCACTTGAAGAACAATCTCTGGTTTGAACGAGAGAGCCAGAGGCAGAGGGCTGCTGGCTGGCCAATTCACTGCCTGCTTTGCTTGCTCTGCTTGGGTCTAAGAAACCTTGTTCTGGAGGGTGTCCATCAGTCTCTCCATGTGTACAACTGCTTTGGCTCTGATGTCCTGAACCCAAAGGCCTATCTTCCATTGGCCTGGTCTTTCTTTCTTTGCTGGGCTGGTCCTGGGTTCCTCCTGGAGGGGAACATGGAATTTTCTTCCCTTTGTGGCTGTTGTGCAAAGGGGACAAAGTCCACTGGTGTCCATCCTGCCCAGTGGGAAGCTCTGTCCCTTTGCTGTCCCTGGAATCGAGGTGCACATGCTGCAGGTGGGATGCCAGCAGCTGTTCAGGGGCACTGTGGCGATGCCCTGTGGGTCCTGTGAGGTGTGGAAAGCGGCCAAAGGAGGAAGTCTTAGGTAGCTCTGCTGAAGCCTCACTGAGTGGGCTAGAAACTCTGGTGGAAGCTTTCTCACAGGCTTTGGGGGAACCAAGAACATTGGCTGAAGCCTCTGTCAGTAGATGTTCAGAGCCCTGCTGGCTGGCTTCGGGAGACTGGCTGAGTTCACAGTTCTGATGGCCCTCATTTGTCATTTGCTCTTGTCCACTGAGGCAGCAGAACCTGTTAGGGTTCCTGGGAACCATCATTGTCTCTAAATTCACTTTCTCCTTCTGTTGCAAGGAATCCACAGGCTCAGAAGCCCTGCTCTGCTCTCCATTGAGAAGTTGGGCTCTGGAGGCCTGAAGACTGTCCCGCCTCACTGGAGGTTGTGGTGGGCCCCTGACCCCCTTGGCAGACCCTGGGTGGTGGCCTTCCTGTGAGCGAGATGACGTCAAATGGCCCCCGTTGGTGCGCTGGCTACCTCCCGAGGTTTCAGCCACATTAGGCCGGACATTGGGGACCTTACTTGGCCCTGGGCCTTGTGTGATGCAGTCTGTGGAGGTTGGCTCCTCTGGCCTGAGGGAAAGAGCACAGTCAGATGCATTTGAGCTGGCCGAGAAGGAGCTATAGGCTGAGTCACGTTGATTGGGGTACATGTTCTGGTCAATGGGCAAGAGGTGGCCCTCATAGGTGGCTTGGCCTGGTTGCTCCAGGCTCTCCATGCTGCCAATAGAGCTGCTTTTCTCGGTGCTACAGTGCCGGGAGAGGGGACACCACTGCACACACACGTCACTGTAAGACACAAGGTACACTGGTTAGTTAGCCGAGCCACCAGATCCCTTTCCCACCTTGGCCAGCCCTGCCATTAAAGAAGGCAGGCATCCCAGAGCTACCCATGTCACAAATGAAAGGGCAATAAAGCAAAAAAGTGAAATGCAGAAGAAGAAGGATAGTGGAGTGCCATAGGGATATGGTAAACTGGAGGGACAAAATGACATATAGAAGAAAGATGAGCAAACATCCTTACGACTAAAAGTGGGAGAAAAACATGGGGGCTATGCACTATTTCTTTGCCATGAGTAAGTTTGGAGTTGCTTCTGGGTTGTCCCTGTCCCTGTGGAATCTGTATATGGCTCTCTGCCAGGAGACACACTCATGGAATATCAGCATTAAAAAGGGGCCCTAAAGGCCTGATTCAATTTCAGTCAGACCATTTCATAAATCAGCAGTTCTCAAACTTGAGTGTGTACCAGCATCACCTGGTGGGTATTATCACCACACCAGCCACTGGGCTTCATCCTTGAGTTTTAGGTCTGGCTGGATTCTGAGCTAAGAATTTCTCAGGTGCTGCTGGTATAAGACCTATGCTTTTGAGAACCACTGATGTCTATAAAGCAAGCCCTGCAAAAGAAAGTACTATTGAGGAGGTGATTTTGCCAGGATCACCTAGCTCTAACTAGTGGAATAGACAGGAAGGAATTAGGCATTCCCCTATTCTATTATTATTATTATTATTACTATTACTTTATTAGGTGCTAAGAATGAAATCCAAGGCCTAGCATATGCTAGGCAAGTACTCTGTCACCAAGCTATAATGACAGCCCTACTCCATTCTTTTCTGAGGTCTTACAATATGCCAGGTACTTTACAATAGTCCATTTAAGCCCAATGGAAGAGATTGCTATCCTCTGCTTTACAACTGAGAATGCAGAAGCTTAGAGAGGTTCACTAAGCTCTTAAAGAATCAGATCTGCAATTTGAATCCAGGACTCTATGAATTCAATGTCTGAGATCTCTGATAATCTCTTTTAGACAGGAATAAGAGTAATATCTATATCAGTGGGTTGCTGTATAGATGAAATCAGATAATAAATAACAGCTCAGGTACTAGCAAGGGTTTGCTACAAGGCAGTAGTCACTGCCTCAATTGTTGTTATTATTATCAGCATCCTCTTTACTACCAGTATTGATACCAGGGTGGCCTCTGCCCAAACATTACTCCCTCATCCCTTACAGCAGAGCCAAACCAGGGGGATCAAGGAGCAGACACTATCTTGAATTTTAAGTGCCATTTCCCAAACACATAGCCAAACAGAGCCAAGTCATGCCAGTAACTCCTTTGACTAGAACCCAGGGGTTGCAGGCTGATTTCAGAAATGCCGTTGCCCAGAAAGCCACAGCTGAGCAGCAGCACACGAGAGCCTCCGTCAGTGTCTCTTAATTCTTGCTTTCTGCCTTGCCCCTTAGTCACTCTGCTCACTTGTACTCCATCAATTTCTTGTTGGCAAGAGAACTTGCTGCCCACCGCACCACCCTTCCTGCTGAACAAAACCACACCCCTACTCCAACAAGAGCCAAGCTCAGAATATGTTTCGGTATATTCTAGAACAAACCTGCCTCTGCCCTGAGCCCTTGACTTCCAATGCCAAATAAACTCACTGAGTCGGGGAAAACTCTTAGTTTCTCTGAGCCTCCTCAACAGAAATTCCTTCTTGGAGGGAAGATTTAGTTGCAGAAAGAAAAAAGTAGTTGAAAGCAACACTTTGGCTCTGAGCTGGTCAAAAAGTTGGCTGTGTCCTGAGCAGCTGTTTCAATAGCAATAGATAACACTGAGGTGCCTGTATTGAGTGATATTCCAGGCAGGTAGGCCCTGTTATCAGGGAGGTCCCTGTTTTGGAGACTTTGGCCCCATGATCAGCTGATGGACTAGGTGGAAGCCCCAGTGCATCATCATAGATAGAGAAGACCACCAGAACAGAACTGTGGGGTCCTTCTACATTAAGAGAGCAGGGGGATGGAAAGAATCAGAGAGATGGACTGAGAAAGTACAGCTAGTGAATAGGGTGAGAAGCAGGACAGTGTGGTGTCTCCCAAGCCAAATGAGGCATTTCAAAGAAACACTGTCCAGAAGGAAAGGGAGAGCTCAAAGCCACAGAGACTTAGCAGAACACTGGGAAAAGAAGCCAGGTATTCTGGACTCCCATGCCATTTCCCATTTTACTGCTCTTAGTTCTAAAACATCCAAGAGGGACCAGGTCAAAGGAGGGGGAGTGGCCAGGCTGTCCACACTCCAGTTCACCTTGAGGGGAGGGCTCTAGACTCACCTTGTGCTGCAACCAGAATGCCAGGACAAGCTGAAGGCTTCAGAAGGGAAATGCATGGTGGTGGCCGCTTCAGGGCATCCCTCCAGCAGCTTGGCCACATGCCATGAGTGCGGCCTACTGACAGGGGCGTTTCTCCTGCAGTGAGAAAGGGACAGGAAGTTGGCTAAGGGAACCAGGGCTGAAATCACTTCCCAGGCAGCTTTCGCCCCACCCCCTCTTTCCCTTCAGCGAGGTAGAACATCTTGCAAGGAGCTGGTGTGGGAATCTGAGTGGCCCGTGTCAACCCCCAGTACCGAAATCTTTATCCAGTGGGTGACCCCTGGAGAAACAGCATGGCAGCTTCACAGGGCTGTTTTCTTCATAGGAATATCCTAAGTGTTTCTCATAGTGCTGGGCATATAGTAGATGCTCAATAAATACTTGTGGACTAAATGAGAGCCAGTGACCAATGAACAGTGAGCCAAACTCCACTTCTTTTTGAGGGGAAACATCAATCTGGCCAATCTTTACCTTTTTCTCTGAGAAAGGAAGAGTCAAGTGACTGAGATATCTGAATGGATCAACACTGTGCTCTGTGGATTCTCCAATTTTTACTCATTCATTTAATAAGCCCTGTTGCATGTTTATTGCTGTGTGGCATGTATGTTGCTCTAAGGGTACAGATATGAACAAAAGTTCTCTTTATCCTAGAGAGCTTATAGATTTGTGAGAGACACAGACCTCAGTCAAATAAAACATGGTAAAGACACTGAGAGAGTGAAAGATGAGATGTGCATGGAGCTGAGACACTTGAATTTGTAGGGAAAGTGGTGGCAGGGAATCCCAACTCCTGCCAGGGGATGGAGGACAAAGTGGTGAACAGCACAGCACTAGGCTGGCAGAGGAGGCTGGCTACCCAGCTGTCAGGAGTGAATAAAGGAAAACAGGTCTGAGGCAAAGGCCCCAGGTGCAGCCTGGGGTTTGCCAGGTACCTGAGGCTACAGCCACAAATCTCGCACTGACTGGCTTATTCAGGACCTGTCCCTGTCTCCTGGCATACTTCACATGAATAGATGCCATTCTTGAAAGTGGGGAAGAAAATATGTGGGGTACGGTTAATGCAGAGACAGACAGACAGTCCACAAGAGTAAATGATAGAGCAAGGGTCAGGAAGATACTTCAGAAAAGGGGGAGAGAGGAGAAACCAAATGTCAGAAAGGGAGAAAATGCTGAGAAAAGAATGTAGAGGAAATACATAGTTGAGAGAATACTACAAAGAAAACCAGGTAGTATTCTCTCAACTATGTATTTTCTCTACATTCTTTCTCAGGATGATAGATTATTTGATAAGTTTTTCACTCATTATTTACTAATTTATTCACATTCATTGTGCTGGGCTCCATACAAGGCACTCATGGTACAGATCTAAATAAGATATACATTCCTGTTTTCATCAACTTTGTTATAGAGTGGGATAAATCAGCTCTCTACTTTATAGGGCAGTGGAAGATTGCAACCTAGCTAGAAATGTCCCTCCCCACAGCAGAAAAACAGAAGATCCAAGTAGTGTAAGGCTAAGGCCTGGAGAGGGTCTTACTCAGGGTATATGGATTGAGTGCTAACAGGCCAGTCACAGAGAAAGTGGTACACAAGGAAGGGCAGAGAAAGTTGGTTGACAAAGATGAGAGCCACCGGTCAGCAGCAGTGACCTTGACTATCCTGTAGTCAGATGGTCAATAAAAATTCATCAAGCATCTCCCAGTAATGTTCCTGTGTACTACTACGTCTCTGGGCTATGCTTCTAGATACTAAGGCTGTAGTGGCCAGAGCACCTGTCCCATTTGGGGCCCTTTTTCCACATCCTAGATTCCTGAAATTTCTCTGGGGCCAGGATATGTGGATAGTCAGCCTTGCTACCTCCTTTTCCCTAACTGTCCACCCCTCATACTGAGTTCTACTGTGTCTTCTTTTATGATGTTTCTCTAATACCCCTCCCCCCCTCCGTCTCCCTCTCTCCTTCTCCATTCTCACTGTGACCCTTACACAGAATTGCACCACTCCTTCCAGAATCCACCACCACCACATCCTGTTCCAGTTCAGGCCCTTAGGATTTTGTGTTCAAACTACTGCATCCGCTTGCTAGCCAGTCTCTTTGAGTTCCACCTCTGGTCGCTGCTTTATGATCATACCACACTGAATACCAACTGAATCAAGGGCATTCTCCTACTCAAGAATCTTCCCTGGCTCCCTATTTCTTACACTGTCCTGCCTCACATTTAAACTGGACTCGTTTTTCAAAGACTATTTTATTCACCCAGCTCAACCTTTCATGTCTGCTCCAATCACACCATGTATCCAGCTCTCTCCCTTTCTGATTCTGTGCCTTTAACGTTAATTTTCTAGTAAAATCTAGTACAGACTCAGGAGTTGGACCACCTTGATTTGAATCCCAACTGATTAGCTTCTGAGGCATTAGGCAAGTTTCTTCACTTCTCAGAATCCTTGTTTACTTGGCAGTAAAGTAGAAATACGAGTATCTACCCGCTGGGGTTGTTGAAAGATCAAGTAAGAAAATGTATGTCAAGTGCTTAGAACTGGGTCTGGCCAGCCCTTCAAACAATAATAGTTATCACTATGACCGTTCCCCTGCCTAGAGTGTCCCCTCCCTTTTGTTAACCTAAATCCTACCTGTTCTTCAAGGTACTGCTCAAGTGCCATGTCTTCCTGGGAGCTTGTCCTGAGACAAAAACAAGTGAGAAGGATCTGGATTCAAATCCTACCTCTAGAATTTGAGATGTGTGATTCTATGGGAATCACTTGAATCATCTGAGCTTTAGTTCTCAGATCTAAGAAAGGGAAAAATAATTCTTACCTGGATAGGCGACTGGAGGGATTAGAGAGAGTATTCTCCACGCAAATGGGAAACAGCCTGGTCCATAGCAAATGGTCAGTAAGTACTAGGTACTATAATAATGGTTATTAGCTCAAACTTGTCCTGATTGGAAGCTCAAGAGAACTCCCACAAAGGGCACCTCGATTTAATCATCTACTAAGGTTTTGCTATGACACTCCCTTGCCACACTTTGAAAGGTAGCTTACAAAAGGAACCTTGGGATTTCTTCAGAAGTAGGAATAGTAGGGACTTTGGAGATCCTAGGAGAAAATGCACTGCTCAGAGAAGGAAAATTTTAACAGAGGGAATTGGAGCCTTCTAACCTTAGTTTGGGAGAGGAGAGAAAACTTTGTCAGGTTTTGGCTTATTATTCCTGATTTGACTAGGCTTAGAATTAGTCCATGTTTTATATTCAAATCCTAGCTATGTGACCTTGGGCAAGTCATTTCTCTGAGGTGCAGATTCTTCCTTTTGAGGGAGGGGATGCTAGGAGTGCAGCCAGGACCTCATGCATACTACGCAAACCCTTTACCACCAAGTCATACCCTTAACCACTTGAGTGATATTCTTTTTATATATATTTTCAGTTGTCAATAGACCTTTATTTTATTTATTTATATGTGGCGCTGAGAATCAAACCCAGTGCCTCACACATGCCAGGCAAGTGCACTACCACTGAACCACAACCCCAGTCCCTGAGTGACAGATTCTTTATCCCTAAAATGGGGAAAGTGACCATCTCCTTCTTATGAGTTATGATCTGAATTAATTGCAATCCCGGGTGTGAAATCAGTACCTGACATAGATATTTTATGAACTTAAAAAAACTCACAGAGGCCATTTATTGAACAGTTATGATGTACCAGGCACTAGGAACAACAAAGACCTTAGCTGGATTATTCCTCATGCTAGCCTTATATGGTAAGAACTATTATTACCCCATTTAACAGATGAAGAAACAGAGATGCATAAAATTGAAGTGATTTGCCAAGAGTACACAGCTTGTAACCAGATGAGTTGGGATCAAGACTCAGATCCCCTAGCTCCTATTAAGATACCACACAACCCCTCCTCCCCAAAGGGGTCTGACTAAGAAAGCTTGTATGCCCCAAACCATTCCCTCAAGAAGCAGTCAGAAAAGGGACGTCTCAGTAGTCCTAGACTGGAAACCACCCCCTCCTGGGCAGTGGGGAAGGGGGTGATCATGAGAAATGAGCAGAGAGGTAAGACAATTCCAACCACCCACCACGCAGCCCAGACCTACATGTGGGGGCAATGACCTAGCACTTACTCTTTCCCCTAAGGCTGGCTCAGACACTAGCATTGAACACACACTCATCATTCATTACACCAAAACACCTTTCTTAAGGAGGCCAAAAGAAAAGAAAAAGGCATTAAAGAAAGAAAGCAGAAGAGAAGAGGAGTGGTGGCCTTGGCAGCCATGGCTATAGGCTGTACCTACCATGAAGTTGCCCAGAGCGGAGAGATGGCTTAGGAGAGAATGAGGTATCCAGCTAGCTCAGACTCTCATCGACAAACCCCGCAGCCGGAGTCCCTTCCTTAACTGGGACCCATCTGCCTTCCAGTTAAGACCTCCTGGGATGAGAAGCCATCAGCCCAAGATCCTGAGTGTGGTCCAAGGGGCTCAGACACAGTCAGGTCCCAGTTGCAAGAACAGGAAGGAGTAGCACTGAAGGCAATGTGTGGTCATCGGCCTAGCTGGGCTTCAAAGTGACCACAGCCTTAGGGAACGAAAGGCAGTATGAAGAGCTAGATAGGAGTGAAGACAGTGCTCCAGGAACTAGCCAGGAACCCTGGTGGCAAAGGGAAGGATGAAAGGCAGTTCCAACAGCATAAACAGGCCCCCTGTTCCCGACTCCCACCTCTTCTGAGCCCTGGTCCACCCCCTCCACAGCTCAGAGGCCAATAAGGAAGCTGGGCCCCCAGCCACTGCTAGAACTCAGGAAAGGAGCAAGGAAATGATGTTTGGGAAAGATAAAGCGGGTGTCTAAAAAGAATTTTTAAAAATACACGTAAGTGAGAGAGAAAAATACCCCAGACACATACACTTAAAAGAATTCCTGAGCTTCCTGGACTGAGTTGACCCCACCCAGCCATCTCTGTAGGTCTTCAGGGTCCCAGAAAAGGAAAGCTCAGATCAGCCAAGCTGAACAGCCTCCAGGTCCAGAGAAATGGCACCACAGCTGATTGTCTAAAGCTGGGAGCAAGTGAATTAAAACCTTTCCAAGGTGAAGGTCTTGCTGAGAAATAAAGCCTTATGATCATTCTGGGTCTTATTTATAGGGTCTGCATTTCTGTATGAACAAACCCAAAACAAAACAAAACAAAACCTCAATTTCACACCAGAGACTCCAAGTCCAGAAAAGGTGCCCATTAGCAATGCTGAAATAGTGGCATTTGGGGTCAGTATTTGTGGACCTGCCATAAATTTACTCTGACCTCTGGCAACTTGCTCCCCCTTCTCTGGGCTTCTGTTTCCTCTCTGAAAAATAAAACATTGAACTTAATCATCACAAATGACCCTTTCAGCTACAGCATACTATGATGCAGTAGTCCTGAGACCCAGCCTGGGGCTCCAAATTATGTTCTCATTGACCAATACACTAGCCACAACTCAGAGTGCTTCACATGGGTTTATTGTACCCTTTAATCCAGGCTAAGGCATCAGAATTTAATTTCTCTTGAGAATTTAGAGTTAGGGTTTTCCCTTCATAATGTTTCTGATCCTACTCCCATTTCCCTTGGCCTCTAGCCCCAATTCCAGTAATTTCTGGCCCCTGAGAGAGCTTACGCAAACTCCCTCAGGACAAAAAGTATGCTAGGCCCTTTCCTCTCTGGGGAAATCACGTCCGGAGGCCCCTTCTCCTCTCTTCCCTGTGGACCTCATAGAGAAGTCTAGGTTGACTTTTACCAACTGTATAGGAGTACTGTATGAAGGAAATTTTGAGGTTTTGTGGGGGCATAGGGATCTGGCTTGGTGCCTCATCTCCATCATTCACTAGTTGTTTGGTCTTGGAATGACCCAGAACCTCAATTTCCTCCTGTGTAAAATACACCTGGCATGTGAAAGGCACGCAATAAGTGGTATCTGTTATTAATACTACCTTCTACCAAAAATAACAATGGGCAAGATATTGTATTTAGTAAGAAAATGGATATCTTCAATCCAGAGATGGAAAAGAAAGGACTACTTAGGAGAAGGAACTTGTCAAACTTTCATGGGCATGTGGATCACTTGGGTGTCTTATTAAAAGGCAGATTCTGATTCAGCACTGGAGCTCAAGCTCTGACTTTTTTTTTTAACCTCAACCCCTCTTTTCTGCTCTCTCTCTCTCTCTCTCTCTCTCTCTCTCTCTCTCTCTCTCTCTGTGTGTGTGTGTGTGTGTGCTGGGGATTGAACCCAGGGCACTCTACCACTAACCTACATTCCCAGCTCTTCTTATTTTTTTTATTTTGAGATAGGATCTCACTAAGTTGCTGAGGCTGGCCTCAAATTGGAATCCCCCTGCCTCAGCTTTCCCAAGTTGCTGGGATTACAGGTGTGCACCACTGGGCTGGGCTTCAGGTTCTTACTTTCTAATGAGCTCCAGGGTGGTGGTGGTACTGCTGCTACCGCAGCCATAACCACATTTACAGTGGCAACATACTAAGTAATAAGCCTTGCCCTCAAGAATCACCAGGCCTGGGTGCCCAGCCTTCCCTAATCTTTTCATTGTCAAGTGCCTTCCTCCATCCTTTCAGTAACCTGGCCCATGCAAGTGCATGCTTGATGAGGCTTGCTGAGCCCCATTTCCTAACAAAATAAAGTGCAATGAGTTTGACAGCAGCCTGACCCTGTCAGTAGCAAGGTGAGGCTGAAGAAATAGTACCTGGAAACATATGCCTGTTGATGGAACTGGCTGAGAAGTTCCTGAGGTGAAAGGTGTCAATAAGAATCCAGCAGATTTAACTGGAAGTTTCTGGGAAGGCAAGGTGGAATATGGGAGATTTGGGCAATCTTCAGATGAGGTGATAGGCAGGTAGGCACAAACAGGATATACTCAAGAAATCCTTGTGTAAGAGAAGAGATCTTGGGCAGCAGTTAGGCCAGTTTAGGATTGGGGGAAGAGGCTGGAAGATGGCATGGGGAGAAAAGGAACACTCTGCCACTTAGCAGAACTGAGTTCCAGACAACGTGACCAGGTATAACCTCCTATGATGGGGACAAGGTAAGGATAGCTGCCTCTTTCCTAAGCACTCCAAGGATAAGAACTTGGCATGTGGATGGAGGAGGGTGGATGTATGCCAGCAAAAGTGATGGATCCACCATAATCAACTCCCAGAAGAGTCTTTGTAAAGTTACCTTGAGAGGTTAGGAGAGGAAGGTAGAGCAACTCTGGAAGGAGTCAATCTCCAGCAGCTCCTCTTGGCTGTTTCCCTGATATCCTCTGATGGTACCACTTGTCTCTGAACCTGGCTTTCAGTGGACCTCTCAAGAGACATTTATTGGGAGAGAACAATCAGAAAGAGAACCAGAGCTCTGCACAGCCCAGGGCAAGAAGAAAATGTAACCCCTGTTACTTGGGGCTGTGCTAAGCAAGAAGTCTGGACCATAATGGAGTGTGGGCTCTTTCCGCTTTTGAAAGTGTTTGGATAAGGAGAAGCACAAAAGAGTGTCCTTGATTAGCTCTGTTTACTTTCTGTGACTCTTCCAGCCTCCCCCCAAAGAGCACATTCCACCTGCCCCACATGAAGGAGCCTAAGCTCATTCTGGCCCGCCTGGCAGGAAGGGAAGCCTGCAGACAGGCGGAGGGGACAGAACAATGCACAGCTTGTTTATCTGACAGAGGAGGGGAAAAGCTGCTTGGTCACCATGGAGGGACACAGAGCTCTGAAGGCCCACCCCCACTTCACTGTTGGCTGGAAGACCTTGAAGCCTGGTGATCCAGATACCCTTCCTTACTATAGACAAAAACCAAGGGGGAAATTGTGTGTGTGTGTGTGTGTGTGTGTGTGTGTGTGTGTGTGAGAGAGAGAGAGAGAGAGAGAGAGAGAGAGAGAGAGAGAGAGAGACTGGAGATATGGCTCAGTGTTAAAGTACCTATGGGTTCCATTCTCAGTCCTTTTTGTTTTTATTTGTTTATTTTGTTGTGTTTTGAGGCAAAGTTGCTGAGGCTGGCCTTGAACTTGCAATCCTCCTGTCTCAGCCTAAGGAGACCACTTTTTCCAAAGAAGGTTGGAAGGAAGTAACCATACAGATGACTTGGGAGAGCTTTGCAAATTCTGAGAACTAGAAAATGCATAATAATTTAGAAACACAGTTCTTGTAATTCATTTTTCCTGTAGGCTAGGGAGTAATTTGTAGGCTGTTTGTTGTTGTTGTCCTATTTTTTTTTTTGGTACTGGTTATTAAACCCATTAAAATGTTGATACAGGGTCTCTTTGTTGCCCAGGCTGGCTGGGCAATCTTACTGCCTCAGCCTCCCAAGTTGCTGGGATTATAAGGCTTGTTCCACTGTGCCTGGCACAAATTTGACATGTAGACAGAGGAGGGTGGGCATGTGCAAGCTGGAGTCATGGATCAACATAAGTTTTTCTAGATATGGTCTGATGAAATATACCCACCATTGACTATTTCTTGTCAATGGCCCTAAAAGCAAAAATATAAATGTTGCAAAACTTTTGCAGCTTCTGGAAGAAAGGGGATCAAATAAAATCTCTGAATAATGAAAAAGGGCTTCCCCTCTCCCACCTCTCCAAAAACTAGGGAGGGTGGGATTGGAGCTCAGTTGTAGAGTGCTCACCTACCACTGGGTTCAATCTTCAGCACCACATAAAAACAAATAAATAAAATAAAGATATTGTGTCCATCTACAACTAAAAAAATCGATACTTTAAAAAGAAAAGCTAAGGATAAAACATGAGAAAGCTGAAAGAGACTTCAGAAGAGCATAATGGAATAAAAGCATCAAGTACACTGAGAACCATCTGATTTAACAGATGACCTTAAAGCTTTTGCCATGATGCCAAATTTCCTAAACCAACTCCCAAAGTGATAAATAAGGTGGAGGCTGTTTGTCCTCCAGCTTGGTTGCTACCAGTTATGTTTATAGCCTCCCTTGGGAAGGAGGCAGCAAGGGATAATACAAACTTTCCTTTCTTCCTCCCTTAGGCCCATTGTTTTCTTCAGGTCACACCCAGTGTTAGACACAATGTTTCAAGCATCTGATGGAATCCACAAAGGTTTCCCCAGAGTCATTTCTCAAAGTCCTCAGCACTACTTCTGGCCACTCCCGAATCATCTCTGTTACTAAAGACATGGAACACTAGAGTAATAGCCAACAATGGCTAGGACCCCAATTGAAATAAAAGAATCTACTTACTCTGCTTTGAGCAAATATGATAATGAGGACAGGCCAACCCTCAGCAGAGCTGGATAACCATGAGCAAGATGGACATCAGGAGAGATGAGATTGGTGAGATACCTAGGCATATCATGGAGTTTTCCAAGACCAATGAAGGCCATCAGTTTGAATTGTATTCTCAAGGAACTAGGAAGCTGTGGGAGGTTGTTAAACGGGGCTAACATGATCTACGTTTTGTAAAGATCTCATTTGGCTGATGGATTTGGTAAAGGTGGGGAGGGATAAGAATAGAAACCAGGCACCAAGTTTAAAAGGTTCATGTAGATAAGAGAGAATGGTGGTTTGTTCAAAAAAGGTAGAAGTAGGCATAAGGAACAGAGGTTTATTAATATTAGGGATATTTTGAAGAAGTAGTGCCAACAGCATTTATTAATGGGTTGAATGTGGAGAGTAAAGAAAAAAGAATAACTATGA